CAGTTGGGGACAAGCAGGCCAGCAGTGGGGGGCAATCAGGCCAGCTGGAGAGGGTAGTTGGGGGCCATGAGGCTGGCTAGAGAGGGCAGGTGGGGGCCATGAGGCCGGCCGGGGAGGGCAGTAGGGGGCCATGAGGCTCGCAGGGGAGGGCGGTTGGGGGCAAGCAGGCCGGCAGGGGGGGAAGTTGGGGGTGAGCAGGCTGGCAGGGGGGTAAGTTGGGGGTGATGAGGCCAGCAAGGGGGGAAATTGGGGAGAGAAGGCTGGCAAGGGGGGCAGTTGGGGGCGAGCAGGCCGGCGGGGGGCCAGTTGGGGGTGAGCAAGCCAGCAGGCAAAATGGTTAGGGGTGATTGGGCAGGCAGGCAGGTGAGCGGTTAGGAGCCAGTGGTCCTGGATTGCGAGAGGGATGTCCGACAGCCGGTTTACCTAAACCGGCAGTTGGACACCTCCCGAGGGGTCCCAGATTGGAGAGGGTGCAGGCCGGGCTGAGGGACACCCCCCCTCCCCCATGCACGAATTTTGTGCACCGGGCCACTAGTATAAATATAAATGTCACATCAAAACTAAACAATTTTATGGCAAAAATTTAATTTGTGCATTATTTTAAAATTTGGATTAAAATTCAATGAAAGTCCACTTAAAGAGCCAGATGAAAGAACTGAAATAGCTGCAGTTCAGAAATAAGAAAGCTGGTCTGGCTGGTGTGGTTCAGTGGTTGAGCATAGACCTATGAACCAGGAGGTCATGGTTCAATTCCTAGTCAGGGCACATGCCTGGGTTGCAGGCTTGATCCCAGTAGGGGACATGCAGGAGGCAACCTATCAATGATCTTCTCTCATCATTGATGTTTCTATGTCTCCCTCTCCTTTTCTGAAATAAATAAAAATATTTTAAAAAAAGAAATATGAAACCTGAAGAAACAGAAATTAGAAACAAAGTTCAACCAGCTGAATATGTGAGTCAAGAAAAAAAAAAGAGTTAATATAATATAATATATTCACATATATTATAATCAGAGATATCCTTTTAATCACATAAATACACAGAATAACACAAATTTACAAACAGTATAATGAAAATAAAATTACAAGTGATACAAACCATTTTTCTGTTGAGTTTTGTCATTATATCTCGTGCAAGCGTAAAAAATGCCTAAAGATAAACCAAAAAATTGCATTATTATATATTTATAATATATTTTTAAATAGAAATGTAGAATATTTTTACTATTACATTATAAATATATTACTTTAAAGCTTTTAATTTAGAAAAGAATATAATTGTAATCATGACTATTATATCTTATTTTTCAATTACATCACAAACATTTTCCAGTGTTATCAAACTATCATTCATTCGTCAAATATTTTCTGCACATAATATCTGGCCAACTTCCCAAAATGACAGGTTTCAGTTATGCAGAGCTTCCTCAGTACACCCAGAGCACCTGGGGGGCAGAAGCTCTGTCTAAGCCACCCCTGCACACCCAGAGCGGGGCACGGGGCCTGATCTAGAAGATGCTGAATATCTGTTTAATCAGTGAATGAACAAATGTTTTACCCTATAGCTCTAAAATATGTTTTTATAAAAATCTCTGTCTTTTATTGCCAATGTCCTCTTTCAAATCACTTTCCCTCTTATACCTTATATAATCTTAACATTCCAAAATCCTGACAGTGTCTACAGCTCAGTTAAACCCCTCACCATGGAAATCAGTTGAAATGCAGGTAGGGCAACTCTGATTCATCTTAGTCGCATTTTATGCCTAGTGTCTCGTGATCCAAACCAAACATTTTTTAACCCTATCATCCCTACTTTGTTTCTAGGGAGCTAAGACTTAAAGCTTCTTCAGTTGTGTCTATGCTAACTCCACTGTTACGTCAGTCTCTTTGTTCCCAACCATGCTTGATGCCCCAAAAATATTTAGCAAAAGAACTATTTCCAATCAAGTTAAATAGAAACAATACGTAGCTATTACTATCACTCACTATCGGTGTCTCACTGTCACACTGGTCACCCGTAAGGCTAAATTTCTAAGTAAACCCATCCCAGTGGTTATGAGGCTAACCAACCACACTAAGTTAAAGCTCTGGGAAATTGCTAACTTCTGCAGAACACCGGGCCAGATTAAGCAGCTGGGGAACTCCCAGCTCTACACTTCCATAGCTCAATGCTGTCTCTAAGCCACAGTTGTGATCAGGGCACAGGTACTAACAGAGACCTCAGCCTACTCCAGTAAGCCAGGGTACTGCGTTCATTCTGTGGGAGAAACCCTATGTGGGCCAACTCAGTGAGCAAGCTTTGCTCCTGCCTCCACCATTAGAGCAGACTTAAGAGGTTCCCCTCTTTGTGATGGAAGGAAATCCTTTTGTGGCAAGCGGAAGGAAGCATTTTTCTGCTTATCCATGCTGATCTAAATAAATCAGTAGAGAGTTCCTGTTTCCTAACACCCATTAGCCAACCTGAATATGAGTTTGTTATTTTTTTAAAAAGTTATGATCATTGTCCACTATCCAATTAAGTCATTTAAGCCTCAATTTTTAGCTATGATGATATGGCGAACAGTGAGTAGCCTAAGAAATTAAATATTTATGAAATCATCAGTATTATTAAGTGAATTATATATATTAAAACATATTACATGTAATATTTTCATGACCAGTTTTTAAAATGTTTTTATAAAGAAAATATTATCACCCGGGCTGGTGTCGCTCCATGGTTGGAGTGTCAGCCTGCGCACTGAATGGTCTCGGGTTCAATTCAAGGGCACGTACCTGGTTGCAGGTTCGCTCCCCGGCCCCAGTCAGGGTATGTTTGGGAGGCAACCAATTGATGTGTCTCTCTCACATGGATGTTTCTCCCTCTCTCTCTCTCTCTCCTCCCCTTCCCTTCCATTATCTCTAAAAATCAATGACAAAATATCCTCGGGTGAGGATTAACAACAAAAAAAAAATATCAGAAATTCTTCCCTTGGTAAAGAAAATCTATTCTTAGAAGACTTTAGATGGTTAGATTTTCTTTAACAGTTAACTTACTAAAAATTTATTAAAGTACTCTCTAGTAAACACACTTTCTTACTTCTACCAAATGCCATCGTAGTACAATATATCATATATATCATGTTAATCTACTTAAACATGTACATTAAGGGAATCTGTTCAATAAGCTAACAGTTTAATTCTCTCTCTCTCTCTCTCTCTCTCTCTCTCTCTCTTTCACAGACAGGAAAGTAATAAAGACTCGCCTGCTATAGGCCACTATAGGATGACATGAATGATGATAAATGAGCAGAGGAAGACACTGCATTTGGTCAGCTAGTGCAGGGTTTCCAGCTTCCCAAATACAGGACAAAAGTGAACTTAAACTGAGCATCTATCTTCTGTTCAGTGAATCTTATATTCACGTCTGTATTTGATTGCAGGGTGTCCCAAAAATATGTATACATATTTGAACAGCTGATCACTCACTCAATTTTCACTCCTTTTCAAGTTTAACTGATTTGAAATAATGGGCAAAGCTTTGAACAAAGCAAATTTATCCACTAGACTTTTTTATAGGGATACATAAAAGATAAAGTTTAAAGTCCAAAACAAGCAACAGTTGACAAATTGAGGGCACACAAATACAAACAAAATGATTCTTGATGTTTGCGATTCCTTTGCTTCGCATTATCAGCAATGCCTGGACCAGAACCAGTCATCAGTCTGAAAACAGGCATTGACAAAAAACACTATTCACTTCTGTGGATTCTTTTAAATTTTTTTAAATGAACTGTATGTTAATAAATATTCAAAGTATGTACACATTTTTTGGGACACCCTATATATTCTTTGTGGAGGTTGGGTGCTAGAAATTCAACAACCAGGTCCACATAAAAGTCAGAAGCACAGCAGTTCACAACATGGAGGTGGAGTTCACACAGGCATCACTAAGTCAGAAAATAACAAGGCTTTGAGAATCGCTTGAACATAGGCAGATAAGCACTAGTGCTACTATATAACAAGTCACCAAACCTGTCTTTCTTTCTTACCTCTTCTACATTTGTACTGGATTTTGCACTTGTCTCCAAGAATTTAATCCCATAGTCAATTGCTAACTGAAAGGCAAACAGAAACATTTAAATATAGTGCAAGTTACTTGAACATATAAAGCACTTATATTTTCTAGGATTTTCAAAGTCCCAAAGGTCTATCTAGTTAAGAACTCTCGTGGTTCTCAAATCTCTTTGCTTCCTTCTGTGTTTGAATTGAGATCTAACTTAATCATCATAAGCAACATGGCACCACTTCCACTCACAATTTAATACAGTACTTCTCTTTTTTCCTATTATACTTTTAGTTCTCTATACTTACAAGAAAAACTATGACACTCACCCCCTACCATTAATTTGGGATTCATTCACCCCTTTTATCTGTTCTGAAAGTACAATTCTCTAACAGTGACTATACTGATTTTTCATTATTTTTTTAAATAAATTGGCGCTTAACAGAAAAGCTTAAAATGCTAAGTATTCATTGCTTTGGTTTCTATTGATTGTGACAAATGTGAACTCTTCCATATTTCCATCTACTCCCAAAGAGTTCCCAGTTCATTTATAATAACAAGATTAAGAGAATGTTTTTAGGTAAAAAAAAGTTTCAGATTGAAAACACACACACACACACACACACACACACACACACACACACACGGCTAAAACAAAATTACCAGACTTAAAAACTGAAGCTTCTACATCAATTTAGAAAATGTCACAGAAGTAAACATGCACATATAATAAACTCCTTTGCTTTGCATGACACAAAACAGAGAAATGCCTATAAGTGATTAATAAATGACATCCACAGCTTGATGAGTTATAAGGAGTTAATCATAATGACCTAAATTTATTGTGTAGTACAATATTCCTTAAAAAATGAATTAGAGAATGATTACTGTTGAACTTCACCTATCCTATTAATTTTTTCCAAAGGGAATAAATTACTTTAACTTATGGACATGGAAGAAATAGCCTGAACTTTAAGCTGCAGGAATCTGAAAAAGAACCAATTTGTATCTCCCAGAAAAGAGCAAATTCTTTAGGAATGAGTCATGACTACACAGTATATAGAGTTGGATCTCGAATACTAATTCGTACCATTCAAGTATAGATTATATCTCTTTGTTGTTTTTAAAGGATTAAAATACAGATATTTTAAACACCTAAATCAATAATTATACTAGGAAAATAAATGCTTAATGTGAGTAGATTTGAATCTTTATGCATTCAGTTCAAATTTACCTTCTCCCCTCTTTCTTTTGACACTTGTCTTTTGTCATTCATATCGCATTTGTTACCCAGGATCATTCTTTCCACGTCTAAAGAGGCATGCTGTAGGAAGGAAACAGAAGGTTACAAAAACAGCCTGAAAAAGACAGTTATTCAATAGACAAATCCTAACCTATTAGGAACATACCCATGAATTTAATAATTAGGCTAATCACCTTTCACTGGACACAAGACATGATTCAGAGCAAGTTTTAAAAGATGGGAGGAGGGGGGAAGCTACAATAAAAAAAGGCTATGCAAACTTTCTTCCCAAAGGCTCACAGTCATTCTCATGTCTTTTGGTACATGAACAAACAGAAATAAAACTTATGGTTATCTAACAACAAAACTTCCAAATATTAGTTTGGATCAAAGAAGAGAAAAAACTTGGTCCTGAGTGAGCCAATGGAGAAGGTATTCTGGATTCTGAATTACTTAAAAAATAAATTCATGCCGAAACCGGTTTGGCTCAGTGGATAGAGCGTCGGCCTGCGGACTGAAAGGTCCCGGGTTCGATTCCGGTCAAGGGCATGTACCTGGGTTGCGGGCACATCCCCAGTGGGAGATGTGCAGGAGGCAGCTGATCGATGTTTCTCTCATCGATGTTTCTCTCTATCTCTCTCCCTTCCTCTCTGTAAGAAATCAATAAAATATATTAAAAAAAATAATAAAAAAAAATAAATTCATGTAGGTTAATATAATTGTGTACAAAATTATTTCTGAGTCAGATTTCTTTTTGAAATATAAAAAATATAAGATCTTAATGCTAATCAATCTAGAATTAAACCAAACTTCAAATATCGAAGATGGAGAAAATGTTAGAAGGGCAAAACGATAAGTTGCTGGAATAAAGATATACTTTTGCCAGTCAATCAGATGATGAACCAGATAGAACCCAGGAATCAGATGTTTTAATCCTGCTCTCCTTTATAAAGGCTGTATTAGCATAAGCAAGTCACTTCTTTCTGGCCTCAGTTTTCTCTTGTGTAAAATGGGGACTCGGATTAAATTACTTCTAATTTCTGGCCGAAGTTTAAAATTCTGTGAAACTGCTCCACCGTCTGCCTCCATCCCCCATCCAAATCCAGCAGGGCAGTCAGACTGCAGATGGAGATCTCGCCCTCCATGGCACGCTAAGCGAGCGCCTGCCCTGCCCATGCCCTACTTCTTCGCAGCTCAACTGCCTCTTCCTGAGACAGGCGGCCTTTATAAGCACCCAGCAGGTATCATCATTCCAGTATCATCATGATGATCTCCAGTACCACCATTCTCTTTCCATATATACCTCTTCAATGTTTCTTATCCAATTTTTAATATTGTCGAAGGACTTTTCATTTGTGATGTCATAGACCAGCATGATTCCCTATAGGAGAAAAACAGATCTTTATTTAGTACAGTATGTATTTAAAGTTATAAAATATAATGTAAGTGTACTCCGCCCCTCCAGAAAGCTTTTGTTTGTGGCTTTTTTGGTCTTTATAAAATACTTTATAATATTTTAAAGTATGGAGAAGCAAAAATAAATAAATAAATTCTCCCATTGCCTCACCAGGTAATTAAATACTGTTAACATTTTCACTGTTAACCTTTAATGAATTAGTGATTATGGTGAAGATGATACACCCTTTCCACCTGACTACCTATGATAAGAATCGGCACTAAACTGGAGCTGAGAGAGTGTTTAAGTTAAAACAGAGACAGCACCGAGAGGAAGAGGCAATCACTTCTGCTGTGCACTTTTTATTCAAGTAGAAATTGCCTTGCTTCTCACTCCTACGCTAAGATTGTAACCATACCACTTTAAAATTATGTCTTTTTATATAGGCTGATCAAAATGTCACTACCTGCCAAAATAAATCACAGGCATTTAAAATATAATACATTTGTTATGCAAGTTTAATGAAAGGCATTGTCATCATATTTTTAAAGACCCCATGGCTGGTGTTTCTAAAGAGTTTATCTTCTAAGTGTTTCAACTGATACCTGTATACTAATATTCCAAAATCTATATCACAGACCACACTTCTGTATAAAGCACTAGATCCACCCACCCATTCACCCATTCAGATATCTACTATGTGCCTGATACTATACTAAGTATTACCAACAGTGAACAAGATAGACAAGGCCTCGTCCTCTCATGAAAACAATAAACCAATAATTATGCAATTAATTATAATTTTGATCATTGCTATGAAGTACTAGGAGCTCAGTACAAATGCTAATCTAATCTGGTTGATGGGCTGGGTGGTTAGGGAAGGCTGCCCTGAGAAAATGACATTAAAGACAAGTTCTGAGGACTGAGTAGACCTGGACTGGGCAAAGGTGTGAGGCTGGGGTGGAGAGGTACCTGGCACATAGGAGAAACGTTATAAATATCTTGCTGACCAGGAAGGCCCAGAACCCACTGGACTGAGTGAAAGAAAGTCAGTTTGGCAAAAGTGTGCAGATCCCATTGGAGAAGAGCATAAAGATGTGGCCAAAGAGATAGACAAATGGGGTCAGATGTGACTTGGAGACAACTAATTGGGCATCATTTCCCAGATGTCCTCTGTGGTCACTGAAAACTCAACTAAGTAAAACACGAGGTTGTCTTTGTCCCCTCCAAACTTTCCCTCCCTTCTTGTGCTCTCGTTTTGATGAAGGGCGACACAATCCCGCCAGCCAGCCCAAGCGGGCCCCTGCGAGTACTCTCCTTCACAGACAGCCGGTCCTGCAGGCCCAACAACCTCAATGGTTCCCGAATATGACACCCCTGCCTCACACACATGAACGGCATTTATTATATTCTCAGCAATTAGCTTTTACCTGGATTACTAACAGAGTCTTTCATTGGTATCTCTGCTTTCATTCTTAACCCCCTCTAATCCATTCTCCATAAGGACACTAGAGTTAGCACTTTATTGAGACCTCTCCACTGGACTCATAATTAAATTAAAATTTCTTAACATGGTAGGCAAAGTACTTCAGGTCTGGTTTCCAACTTGGTAAATAAATATAAAAATAAATCATATAAAACACACATATACACATAGATAAAAGAACCCAGGAAACAATGAAATTTTAACAGAAGCTATCTCAGGGAGGTGAAATTTTGGGTAATTTCTTGGGATTTTCAAAGTTTCCTATACTACACGTAACCTTTTGATAACCAGAAAAATATGTATTATTGTTTAAATGGCAAACAGTAATATCCTCTATCCTCCCTCCTCCCAGCCTGGAATGCAAATATTTCACTTGGCTACATAGTAAAGGAGATTTTATAATTGTTAATGTAAATAATTTTTTAAAAAATCAAAGAGGAGAATTATATACTTAAATGGTTAATTTTGTTATGTATATTTTACCACAATTAAAAAAAAACACCTCAAAATGGAACAGAATAATTCCTGATTCAAAGTATTCAGCTGCCTATAATATTAACATTAACCAAATAATTGCCATCACTCTACGACCCTTTGGGCTATATGGGCAACCTTGATCTTCACCGCCTGTCTGTCAGTGGCACTCTAGAGCGCTAGCACGGGAAGTGTGAACACAGTGTAGTGGTTAAAGAAACAGGCTCTGGTCAGAGGCATCTCCTCAGAGATCCCGGAGACGTTATTTTATCCCTCAGTCTCCATTTCTCATTTGTAAAATGAGGACAGCATGTTTTCCAGGCTGGATTCTTTTGCGTATCTACTGAGATATTATGTATAAAGTACTTAACCTAGAACCCAGGACACAACGTGGACTCAGTAAATGACAGCTAGCTATTTTTAGTTTGTATCTTTGGTTTCAATAGCAGAAACCCTTTGGCTATTTCTTATGTAAGCAAACTGGCATTATGAATCAGTTGGAAATACAAACTCAAATGTACTAGTTAAAACTATATATCTGATATCCTATATAATAAAGGCCTAATATGCAAATTGTCCGCTCAGGCAGTTGTTTGACTGAAAGACAGGGAGTTCTACCGCTCACTATGACGTGTGCTGACCACCAGGGGGCAGCGTGGAACATGGCGAGCGTAGGCGACGCTGCGCTGGCAGTGGATGGCAATGGAGGTGCTGCAGGCCCTGATGGGCCCCAACAAGAGAGAGCGAGACCACAGCGGGATGGTGGAGCAGGTGAACAGGGGCCCCATCAACCTATCCATCACCCTGCAGACGGTGACCAGTGGCGGAGGGGGGCGGGGGCTGCCGCCTCGCACCCAGGCACTGACAGAGCCGGGTGGGGGACCCCCTGGCCCCGATTGATTGCCCGGCAGTCAGGATGGTGGAGCAGGAGAAGGGGCGGCGCCAGGCCATGGCGAGGTGCCAGGCAGGGCTGCAGGGCTGCAAGGCTGGGGGCAGGAGCTGGGGCTGCAAGCCCAATCCCCGCAGGCCACCCCGAGGGACCCCACCTGTGCATGAATTTGTGCACCGGGTCTCTAGTATACCTATAATAACAACAATTTCCTCAAGTCCTTAAGACAGTGTTTGTCTATGAGAAGTATTGATAATGCAATAATATGGTTCTTTTCTCCAAAAGTCCAATTGTCCATCAGGGCTACTGCTATGCCTACAAATGTTGCTGAATAGTTTGAAATAGACAAAAAGGCTCTGTGATGGTGGCGGATTCCAATGCAGTGCTTATCAACATGCTGCATACCTAAACCAACCACAATAGACCTGCCAGGACCACCACTAGCTGAAATAAGAACATGCCCCCACAGGAACATGATGGCCCCACATGCCACTGCAACAGATGACCTACAAGATCCAGGACTCAGCATAGCAGGATTCCCCAAAGATTTATCTAACATTGTTTCTGGTCTGAAATTTCCCACTGATTCACCCCTTCAGCACGTATTTATTGAGCATCTACTATGTTTCAGGCACTGGCATTACAGCAGAACAAAAGAGACAAAAATCCCTACCTTCAAAAAATGGAAAAGATAATACTATCTGAGAATAGCAACAATTTCTAATTATCTGAATAATGTGAAGAAAGACTAGGCAGTAGACAAATGAAAAAGCCAGGCAATTCTCAAATCTAAATTAAATAATGCACTTCAATGCCCTCTTTCCTCATACCATGAACTAGAGTTAGACATCCAAGGAAACACGCTCCACACTCCAAGAGTTCCTGCCCACTCTCTAGTGAAAACAAACAGGCAAGTGGTATCAATACATCACTCATGGAAAATAACAAACTGGCCAATAGAAAAGCTTGTATGTATAATCAAAATTACCTGTAAACTATTCTAAATCATCCCTGCTAAAATGTTCTTATTTATTCCTAAAATTCTTCCTGGGGAAAACAAACAACAAACAAACAAACTTCTTCCTGGTAGGACAAGGTAAGTCCCTTCCCTTTGATTATAATCTAAGCAAAATAGAGAGTAGCTGACAACTCTTTCTTAAAATGATGACCTTTCATAATCATCAAAGTGTGAGGAACACATACATATAAAGTGCTTACTGGTGTGTAGTGTCAAGGTGATAAAGCTTTGAAAAGGAATCCCCAATATTTCTGTGGGGATGAATTACTGGTTCTCAAATAGAGGGTGAGTAGCAGTGGAGGAGGAATGGAAGGCAGCATGATGATAAAGGGATCTGTGGATTCAGATCACATCTTCCTGAAAAAGGGGACAGCTCTCGCCCCTACAGCTGTCACCCTGACACTACTCCCAGGAACACAAGTCTTTTAGACAATGAGCTGGATATGATGGCAGCTGGTACCCCACAGTCTGTCTAGGTCAGTGATGGCGAACCTTTTGAGCTCGGCGTGTCAGCATTTTGAAAAACCCTAACTTAACTCTGGTGCTGTGTCACATATAGAAATTTTTTGATATTTGCAACCATAGTAAAACGACGACTTATATTTTTGATATTTATTTTATATATTTAAATGCCATTTAACAAAGAAAAATCAACCAAAAAAATGAGTTCGCGTGTCAACTCTGACACGCGTGTCATAGGTTCGCCATCACTGGTCTAGGTTGAGCTTCATGAACTCAATTACTCAGCCCTCTAAGACTCTCTGAGGACATTGAGTTTCAGCAAAATTCAAAGCTCCAACTAGTACTTGGATTAGGCCTGAAAGCCAGAGAGAAAGCCTTGGTCTGGGCCTGACATTCTAGGCATGGTTCAGTACAGCTCTGCTTCTAAGCTGCCTTATTCACCACTGTACTCCCAGCAACACGCAGAATCTGCTCTGAGCCAACAAGCAATATAACTGGGTTGTATAGATGAGGCCTTAGGATGGAAATTAGCCAAGGGGTGAGGTTATGATAACAAGGATAAGGCTACTATGTAGCAAAAGAAGGACTTGGTAGTTAAGATTCATCAGATTCTAAACCTCAAAGAGTCACATATCATTCAGCTACTTCCTGGCCAGCTGGCAAAACACTGGTGGAGGAGCATCCAGAGAGCTGAGCCATTAGGAGTGGATGAAGGGACCTGGTGAGAGGTAAGGAATGATGGGGCAAGGCTGAATGATGAGAGGGTGCAAGCAATGAATACTTAGTCACAAAGCTTGTGGTTTGCTAAGATGTGGCAAAGGTATTAATAAAAGGAAAAATCACAAAAACATACAATCACTCAGGATATTTATACGAGTTCTAAAACACCTACAAGCCAATTACCTATTAATATTATAAAGACTAATGGCAAACTATATAGTTACTAAACAGAAAACATTTTATTTTCACATCAAAAAATCTATTTTCCGCCCTGGCTGGTTTGGCTCAGTGGATAGAGCATCTGCCTGTGGACCAAGGGGTCCTGGGTTTGATTCTGGTCTAGGGCACATGCCCAGGTTGCGGGCTTGATCCCCAGTAGGGGGCGTGCAGGAGGCAGCCAATAGATCAGGGGTGGGCAAACTTTTTGCCTCGAGGGCCACAATGGGTTCTTAAACTGGACCGGAGGGCCGGAACAAAAGCATGGATGGAGTGTTTGTGTGAACTAATATAAATTCAAAGTAAACACCATTACATAAAAGGGTACGGTCTTTTTGTTTTTTAGTTTTATTCATTTCAAACGGGCCGGATCTGGCCCGCAGGCCGTAGTTGCCCACGGCTGCAATAGATCATTCTCTCTCATTGTTGATGTTTCTCTCTCTCTCCCTCTCCCTTCTTCTCTGAAATCAATAAAAATATATTTTAAAAAACAATATGTCCCCCCCTGTACTAGACTTTAGCTTGAATCCTATAAACTTGACAAATGAATATTCATGTTTTACTTTCCCCTGAAGAGTTGCAAAATCCCCAAACACTCACCATGGCTCCTCTATAGTATGCTGTCGTGATGGTTCGAAATCTTTCCTGACCTGCTGTGTCCCTAAAATTTTAAACAAAGGAGAGAGCAATTTTAAAAGACATCACCAGCAACACTGAGGAGAGATCATTCTGGTCTGCTCACAAATGCAGTGGTTTCAGGGGAGGGGAATAAGATACAAAGGGAGCCTGTGTGTGTCTGTGAGCTGGAGGCGGTGGTGGCCACGGGAGCCTGTCAAGAGCTCACAATGACTTGTGTGAAAAACTTGGACTTTGATGATAAAAGCAGCAACAGGGAAATCCATGGCCTGCTAGGAACCGGCATGCTGAATTAGTCGAATACATATTGGGGGAGAACAGAATAGTTCTAAATTCTTGGACTCCTAGAGGTAGTTATAATCGTTTTAATAAATGCCTAATGATTATGGCATTTTGCTCTCTTGAGTGAAAGTCTGATTTCTGTACAAAGAAAGCAACTGGGCTGGACTTATTACTGTGTAAGTTCTGCTTAGCCAAGCACACTAAAATGGGTCTCCTCGAGAACTTTCTCAGCAATGGAGCCCGTAATTAAATGGGAACCTGGAGTTTAACACATAATGGTTGACAATGTTTCCAAAGACTTTCCAATATGAACAACAGTGCAAAGTTACATGAGCTTTCATATATTCTTGCTTTTTAGCTGATGGCGTACCATTAGAATACATTCTAAAAAACACAAATGTTTCCAATTACATTTATTGAAGTAAGTCCCTGTAAAGCAGATCAAATTTACTTGATATCTGGGAAAATCAATATTCCTAAATTTGCTACTTACCAGCAGAACTAATTCACTCCCTGTGCTACTAAGACAAACTAAATTGTACAATTTAACTGTAGGGAAGAAAGAGGCACTTGTGAAAATATACTAGAAATCTAATGCATACCAAACCCAAACAAGAGATGAAGGCCCAAGGGAAATATAATAAATTAAAAACATTAATAAATCCCTTAATAATAAATCCCTTAATATTTATGTAAACCTTAGAAGATAGTCTCAGATGATGCTCACCACAGCCCAGTGTGTGTTATTATCAGCATCCTTATTCTGCAGTAGAGGAAATGGGCTGGGGTGGGCTGTGGTCCCAGTTCTGCCACTAACCAGCTCATACCCTTGAATGAGACTCAAGCCACCTACATCTTGGCTGTTTAGTGCAGGGCCAGGCCTCACCTCAGTCATCTTACCCGACCCTTCTGTCACTGATCAGGATTAGCTATACAAGGCACTTATTTGGCACATGGCAAAGAAGTCATGGAGAAAATATAAGCCAAGCACCTTTAAGCAGACCAACATATTATTGATTCTAATACACTACTTGATTTAGAAACAGCTCTGCAGTGAGGCTGGAGGGGAAACCCTTCCATATTAAGTGCAGGCTGTGAAGACTAGATAGAGACCATTTGCTGCTGAGAGTACCCATAAGCAGTGCCCTGCTGTTATATTAAACTCTAATTAGCTGATCCCCCACAGGCGCCTAGAAACACTCCCTATTGTTATGATCAGGACATAAGCACAGAATCAGAAATTCTCTTTACTGTCTCCCTAAAACACTGTTTTATATCTTTAAAATATTTGGCTTCTTACTAAATACCAATAGATGAAAAGGGTAGTCTGTGGTAACCTTCACAATGTTTTCCAGTGACAGATACTGGGAACGACTATGCTAATATATAAAACTGACACGATGCTCTGGGAGATTTGGGTTGTTGTCAGAGCTTTATCACTAACCACTCTAAATCCTAGTTTCCTCCTTTGTAAAAGTGGTGCTAGTATATTTCAATACAATGTTCTCATTCTATTCCCATCCTGAGATTCAAGGAAGAAAATCAGTCTAAAAAATAAGTTCATATACAGTGGGGCCTTGACTTATGAGTGTCCTGACTAACGAGTTTTTTGAGATACCAGCTGTCTCTCGGCCGATTTTTTGCATTGAGTTGACAGAGTAATTTGAGTTAGTTAACGAGCTCCTTAACGAGCTCAGTCTCAGAACGAATTAAACTCGTAAGTCAAGGCCCCACTGTATATTACGTTACTATTTTACCCTGTATAGTCTGTGGAGCTCTCAATTTCTAAGCTATGTCTGCTACTGTCATCATCACACATTAGACCAGTACACATCAAAAACCTTTCCCAAGGCTCCAATTCTATGTGGCTCACCATGGAAGGCCCTGCACTGAAAGAAATTAAACCAGCTTATAGGAGGTTAAAAAAATAAATCTATGAGTTTCTGAGTTCAAGTAAAAAATATTCAACCTGGCAATCTGGAAGAACCATATTTATTCACTGCAGTTTGACAGATGCTTCAGGAATGAACCAGTCAGATTTGGGTGGTCTTAAGGAGATCTTTGCCTTGCATATTGCAACATGAGAGATGACAAGTATGACTTCTTTCTCCCTATTGCTAGTCTAGTGTTCCCCATTTTTTTTTATTTAATGAGAAGACATATACAAATAAACGATAAAATATCAGAGCTGGAGGGGAACTCAGATATCATCCGTTTAATCAATCAGTTTACAAATGAAGAAAAGTAGGCTCTAAGAAAGGAAGCAACTGGCTCCACGTCCTCAATTTAGAGGTAGTCCTGGCAAGAACCTAGATCTGCACTTCCTGTTTAGGGTTCCTACCACTTGACTACTAAGCCTTATCTGATTTCACAGCTGCAACAACTACAGTGAAATAGTAACATACACTCTAGAATTTAGTTTCCTCCCCGATAAAATTAGCATTTGGGAAGAATGAGCTCTCAGATCTCTTCTGGCTGTGAGTTGGTGAGGATACCATTCCTTACCTGCCCACTCTTGGTGGAGAGACCTGTGAATACTTACCCATTTCCCCTTGGTTCTGACAAAGAAAAGATGTTTCAGCTATCACAGAATAGCTCTAACTTATCACAATGCACATTTAATTCCCACATTCAATTCCTAAGTAAAGTAGAAACTCTTATGTGTGTATATAGTGTATATATATATCTATCTATCTATATATATATAGATAGATAGATATAGATATATATATATTTACTTACCATATCTGAAGCTTAATTTTCTTTCCATCAAGTTCTATCGTTCTGAAAATCAATTCCTGCCAGAAAAAGAAAGACATGCTAAATTTCTTCAAATGTAATCCAAGTCTTATTAGAAAAAGAACAAAGATTTCTATTGGGAAAAAAAAAAGTTCTCCAACGCCCTGGAAAATGTGAACACAGAAGAGGGTGTGAATGGTATGTCTGCTCTGAATCCAGGCTGAAGAAAGGAATTACTCTGCAAAGAATTCCTACACATGTTAAATGCAATGTTTTATATGTGTCATTATTTTGACATAAATGGATGACATCCCTCAAAGTTACATAAGTTGGATAGATTGAGAACATGCCATATTTTCTACTTCCTGAAATACATATAAACAATGTTTCCTACCCCGCCCCCCCCATGCTCGGTCTGTCCCTAAAGACAGCCATGGGACCTCTTCACAATGTCTTCCTCATCTCCTCCTCCAGTTGTTTCTTTAGAATCTGCAACTGGCTAAGCAAAAAGCAAAACAAAAAAACCCCAAACAAACAAATAAACAAACAAACAAAAACCCTGTCTATTTGAGGGCAGGGATGGGAAAGCCTGAATATTTATTTTATACAGTTAAGAAGTATTTTACATACATTTTAATAAATGTTCCCCGCATCTTACTGGCTAGAGCTGAAATAACTAAAATAGTTTTAGCCCTGGCTGCACTTTAGAATTACTTGGGAAACTTTAAAAGTTAACAACAAAAACCCCTTATAACTAGGCCTGCTCCCTTCCCCAAATTCTGAGATTCTGACTTAAATGGCCAAAGGTAAGGTCTGTGCACTAGTAATTTTCAAAGCTCTCTAGGTAATTAATTCTAATACGAAGCCAAACTTAAAAAGCACTCAACTGAGCCTGCCAGGTAGCATGAGAAAGTCATCTGGGGCTCAGGTGGTCGCTCCAAGTTCAACCCCTCCCTCACCTATTTCTTCCCCACTATGGCGGCTCAATACTTATTTAGCAGTTTCAACTACAAGGACCACAAAGTCCTGGACAATTATCAGCATGCTCTGTCAGGAACAAGCTGCCACTCTTTCTCTAATGGGACCTGTTAGTGAATACAACTCGGTTGCAGTTTGCTAAATCTTCATCATCTGGCTACTCAAGCTTTATTTTAAAATTTTCTATTCTTTTGCATTCTATACAGAACCCTGGAAAGCGGTTTCCAAGGCACTTAAAAAACACACATGTCAATTATGTATCCTCTACAGTGACTGAAGCATTAACTGTAGTTATCTATGGCGTGGGGAGAGCCTTCAATGGCTATGCTACACAACATTTCTATATATCAACATTGGGAACACCCCAAAAGGCCGCTTGCCAGCTCCAGCTTCATATAAAACCAAGTGGGTTTTCCCCTTCTTCTTTGTGTGGCACTTTCCCCCCGGGACCCTTTTTAGGTACTTTTGTGGATCTTGAAATAGACAACTATCACACCCCAGCTAATCTAGTAGGGCAGCATCTCAATATTCGTTCCCTCACTAATAACCACCGCTACTGTGAGCAAGGACGATCTGAGACCCAGTATCCCAGGTTATCTGGCTCATGTTTCCTCCAGGCACCTCGCTATAGCAGGGTTGGCAGCGGCAGGGGCAACACTTAGCAAAACCGTATAGATATTATTGTTAGCATCACACAGATTTTACTGTGGCCCTCACTCATTTACGATTTAATACGCACTGATTGTTATTGTGATTTATCTTTTTACACATCTCTGAGTCCAGTGTAACAAAGGCCCTCGAGGAATTCTCAGCTATCCTTTACGGTTTTTTGGTCCAGACATTAAGAACAGTATTCAATTAACAGGTATTCAATTAATGTTTCTTGATATTAACATTTACAAAATTCATAATTTTCCAAATTCATAGAAACAGAAAATAGGATGGTAGTTCCCCGGGGATGGAGAGAGGGGGAAAAGAGAGTAGTTGTTTAATGGGCATACTGCTTTAAGATTTGCAAAAGATGAAAACTCTCTAAAGACTTGTTTGACAACAATGTGACCATATTTACTGAACTGTACACATACAAATATGGTTAAGATGATAAATTTTATGTGTGTGTGTGTGTGTGTGTGTGTTTAAACCATAATAAAAAAGAAGAAAAATCCATGACTTTTAAAATGTAGACTGTATAGCTGTAAAATTAACTTTCTTAATTGGAAGGCTACTATCCAACATTCCATGATTTAATAGTTTACAGTTTACATAAGAGATGATGTATATCAAATGCCTGTCCATATGAATACTTTCCTTATTCTGGCTCATTGAGATTGTAACTCCTGTTCTTCCAATGTTGTTTTTGCCTGTAGTTGGGAGTCATGGGCAACTTTTCCACCTTCATTCAACAAAGCCATTTTGAAGCTCCCTTAAAGTCTCAATTACTCTCATTCATTTAAGACATTTAGGAAACTTTCTACTGACCTAGCCTTTTGTTTTTTGTATTTGTTAGAAGGATTACCTTTCTGTTATCTGAGGAGGTTTTACCATTATCTGGGAAACTTAACCATCTTTTCACTATTCAGCTGTTTTCAATGTTTGTAAGAGTTGTGAACTGGTATTTAGCTTTTGTTTATGCGCCTGTCGGGAGCCAGTTGATAGACAAATGCTGTAAGCATAGTCAAATTAACACAACTTTAATTTCACTAAAAATGGAAAATGTTGTTTATATTATTATTGAAAAGCACAGAACCTGGAAGTTAAAAGACCCAGACTGTCTGTTAGGGCCTGTCATTAACAGCTTTTCGGAGGTTGATTAATTGCTCTGAATCTCTATATCCTCCTCATCCTTAAAAAAGATGGAGAGGATCTAACAGGTAAATTAGATAACATGTATGATTGTGCTGTGGGGACTCTGAAACTCCATATAAATGTAAGATATTACACATCCAGATTCTATTATCCTGCAGATCGTGTCACATCACGCAAGGATTATAATAGCTTCCCAGGACGCTGTGCCCACCTCTCTCCCTGGTCTCATTCCCCTGCCCAACACCGTGAGAATAACGTTCAGCAATCCCTGAGGTAATGCACCTCACTACTTAAGAGGCTGTGGATCCAACTTCCAGCTCCCTCAGTCTGGCAACACAGCCTCTTCCACTGGATACACCGCTCTCCCGACACTACCTCTGCCGGTCTCCCTTAGGCCTCTGTTCCTCGCAGGGGCCTGCACCCGTCCTCCCCGCTGCGTGTGCGTGGCCACCTCACTGGCAGCCTTCTCTGAGGATGCCTCTCCACCCATGCAGTTCTTCTCTCCCTCCCTCCTTCCTCAGCTGTCTACTCAGCCATGTCCATCGCTTCTCCCAGGCCTGCCTTTGGCCTGTAATTCAATCCGGTGTTATCTGGCTTATTAACATATTGCTCTGAATTGGTCTCACATCAAGCAAGAGCTCCATCCTCTCTGCCAGTCAGGCTGCACACAGAAACATGTGCACAGTAGATACTAAGTGAAAGGTTAATATGCTTACAACATCGCATAAAGGTTAAATGCTACTACACGTGGAGAGGGCTAGGAAAACCATGGAAGTCCAACGTGTTCTTAGTTTACTACGTAACAAGAGTACGGATGCTGAGAAATCTTATTACAGTAAAAAAATGAAGATCTTTATATTGCACTTAATTTGACAACAATATCAGTAGAATATATAGTAGATTAATAATCACTTTACTTTTTAAAGGAAAAATAACTTTCTGAGGCTACTCCAAGACTAAAAGAATAACCACTCATAAGAAGACTAAGACAATTATATCAATTAGGATGCTTTCTGCTGCAACAGAAACCACAAATCAAACTATCTTAAGGTAATTTGTTGACTCATATAACATGCCCAGTGGTGAGTTGGGGTTTGGAGGTGGCTCAGTCCAGTAGTTCCGGCTCATTTCTCTGCATCTCCTTTGGCTCTGCCCTCCTGGGAGTATCAGTTGCATCCTCTGACTGATAGCAGTTCCTGACCACAACAGCAATACCAAGAAGAAAAGAGATCATCTTCCTGTGTCTCTTTCTTAAAAGTGAAGAACTGTTTCCCCAAAGCCTCCAGCGACCTTTCCTTCAAGTCTCATTGTTGGATTTATAACCAGATTTATAACCACGGGCATGTCATGTTCTGGGGACTAAGGCTGAGTTCCTGAACCAATCACTGCCTAGTCAGTTAGCAAGATTCAATTAATCAAAACCTATCCTAAATTTAGATTAATCAAGTCCCATTCCCCAGAGCTGGGTCACTCCTCCAGATCCACAGGCTACTAAAATTAGGAGAGCAGAAAAGATGTTGAATCAATCATAATATCTGTTAGACTAATACTCAAATCTATCTAATGAATACAACTTCATATTCATAGCCATATGAAACAGACAAATCATAACAGCTATCCCTACTACCCTACCATGAAGGTCATTAAATTTCGTGATAACTAGAGTACTTCTTGGAAGGAAATTTCGCCTAGTCTTCAGCCACCAAGCAGGAAATATGAAGATAAAAAAAGGACAATGAGCAACCCAAATAGCGAAGACGACATCTCTGTGGTTAAACTGTGATCACTCCCAGGAGAGCCCTTGAGCCCACAGTCCCAAAGGCCTGGCTTGTGCTCCAGCCCCAAATGATCAGACTGCAAAGGAGGGGCTGTCATATCAACAGCAGCAAGAGCTACATTACAGCCTATCCTGCAGTAAGAGAGTGCCTTTTTTCCCCATTTAAAAGGACTATATAACTCAAAAAACATAGCTTTGAAGGGCATTACATTTTGGGTCAAAATGCCCTTCCGTTCTCGATCGCCTTTTAGAAAGCATCACTGTCTTTTGGCAGCATATCATACAATAATTCATGTTCAAAATCATGACCCTGAGTCATCCCAACTCATGAACAATCCATGAGCCACCAGGCTGCATGCAGACTTCCCAGCTAGCCACACAGCCCCACATCTACATTCTGGAGACAAGACTCCAACGTTGCTTCCATGTTTCTGAATGTGCCCTGTTGTTAATTTTTTTATGGCTGAAAGCAGCAGTGCCAGTTTTCTCATTGATATT